AGAATAGCTTGCATCCTGTTCCATATTACCTTCTAATTCAGTATTTTTACTTACCTTGCATTCGGTTTGCTGATGAAGTAATGTATTTTTTGCACGTGCTATGTAATGTACGTTTTCAGCTGTTGTATAATGCATTGTTTTAGAGTGAAGCAGCTAAGGAGATGGCTAGAATTTTCAGAGCACATTCTGCAATTAAGTAACCTTAAGGTGCTTAATTAGGTCTATAAAGAGAATATAAATACTGCAATTACCTTGAAAAATATTTAGGTAATGGCACCAGTTATAAAATTCAACAACTATTATTCAAAGACCTTCGTAAGCAGTGATGCACTCAGCAGCCTTTATGTTGCTGTAAAGTTGACATGTCTGAAGTATTGTTGTGCAATCTCTTATATGTGGGACTGCTCCTATGTGTTCCATAGGCATTTTTTGGTTATTTCATCGGTCTCTGTTCAGGGCACTCTGAACCTAGGAAACAGCTGGTGTGGAAAGATTTTTACCATCATGCTGTATTTGCTTTTATGATCAGAAGAACTTCTATCCATTTTTTAGAACATGCACAGACACTTAACTAAATGACTAAAACATGCTTAAATTCCCAAGAAAGTGGTAGGTCCATTAAATTTGTTTGCAAGCTCAAAATTGGGCCTTCTGAGTATCCTAATACAGGCTGGGGTTTTAGGCCATCTGTAGCATTGTTTGTCAGGCACCATGTACACGTCGTTGTTATGGATTCAATGATTACTGTTAGGCCAGGTGCAGATGAGAGATACTGTATTTGATAACTCATCTCCCCTTCGTTGGATGACTGGAATGTGTCAGTCAAACCACAGCCAACAGGATTACAAGTGCCACAGACTGTCCTTGTCTGGTGAGCAGTTTCTCTTTTGCAAGGAATCAAGTCTGAAAGAAGGCAGGGTGAGAAGAAAATCTTCTGTGGAGACCCTGGGAGCGTTGAGAATTACCTTTTACCTGCTGTATTGGTGAATTTGTAGCCTGGAGTGAAAGAATATCCAAGGATTTTAACTACCATAATAATATAGGGAAGTAGGAGGACGTCTAGCAAGGCTGAGATCAGGAAGGAGTGTTTGATGGAGATCCAGATGATGTGAGATAACCACGCTCACCCTAGATCTATCCGTAATCACAAACCATTCTGAAGGCATATCTGGCATCTGCGTGTACATTAGCAATTTTGCCAGAGGCCACTTTATTTTCTCTTTTTCTTTATAGATATTTAAAAACATAATCACAAAAAAAGGACAGTAAGTGAAAAAATAGAAAAGATATTCTAGACATACATTTCTTATTCAGTTGTGTGTGCCTTCTGGTCCTGCAGGGTCTTCTAGAATCCTGACTATTTAGAGTTGACTATTACATCATAAAATGCTTTAAACAATGTTTTGCAAAACAAAAACAAGTTCCTTTTACCACCTTATCATCTATTGGCCCCAAACATAGCTTCCCCCCCCCC